TTTCACGGTCATGTGCTACTTGGTTGAGGTTGATCCGGGGAGAAGGGGTGTGGGAGGGAGGGGTGAGGGAGAGGGGAGGGAGGGGTGAGGGAGAGGGGAGGGAGGCATGCAACAAGCAGATGGACGTTAGTGAAAGGGGTCTCAGAGGCAGTCTACCAAAGCACGTGGGAGTTAGTCTGTTTTGAGTCTTCTCATAACAGGCTTTTCAACTGTTGCCAGCGTTTTCCATCGCTGCTCTGCAGCGCGGGTCAATGTTATTGGGCTAAGGGTGTTCTGGGGAAAATTACCGATATTTTCTCGGGTATTTTTGGGCTGGCGATTTTCTTCGTCTGGGTGATCACAATCCGCATCACCACCCCCGTGTGACTGCCCGGAGGCGTGCCGTTAGGGAAGGGCGAGGGAGCCGAATTCGTTACAATCACGTCCCGGCAGACGGAGGGCAGCGAGGAGAAGTCCACGAGAATGTCCTTTCGCTCGCCTGGTGCAAGTAGCAGGGAGCGGACGTAGGATGGGCGGACGAGATAACCTGCATCACTGCTTATCTGAAAAGGGGGTGTTGAAAAGAGTGCAGAGGTGTTGGGAGGAGTGAGGGTGCGTGAGAAGAGAGAAGGAGGGCAGCGAGGAGAAGTCCACGAGAATGTCCTTTCTCTCTCCATGGGCGACGGGGAGGGAGCGGACGTAGGTTGGGCAGACGAGGTAGCCGGCGACTTTGAGGCGCCTCAAAAGACGAGGTAGCCGGCGTCACTGCTGATCGGAAACGGGGTGTTGGGTTAAGTGGGGCGTGAGGGATGAACGAAGAGAGTTTGTGTGGGAGGGCGAGGGAGGGCAGAGAGGACAAGAACGAGTTGAAAGAAGCGAGCCATGCAAGCCATGTACAGCCTCGGCCTCCGATCCAAGCAAGCCGGGCTTCATGTATTTACCTGGGCAAATTTCACTTTGCTCCCTTTTAAAGGAGGGTAGAAGTTGGGGTAGTCGCGGCGATCGGCGCAGACAAAGGAGAGGTTGAAGAAACGAGCGTTGGCAGCAGAGAGCAGGCGCAACCTGTGCAGCGCTGGACGCACCTTGAGGTACGGCCAGGCCTGTAGGGGGGAGAGAGGGCAGGGAGGGGAGTGAACGGAGGGGCGAGGAGTAGGGGATTTGGGTGGAGTGAACAGGCGTTGGCAGCAGAGAGCAGGCGGGACCTGTGCAGCGCTGGACGCACCTTGAGGTACGGCCTGACCTGGAAGGAGGGAGAGCAGGAGGGGAGAGAGCAGGTGTGTGTGGAATGAACAGGCATTGGCAGCAGAGAGCTGTCAGAACCTGTGCAGCGCTGGATGGATCTTGAGGTACGGTCAGACCTGGAAGGTAGGGAGAGCAGGAGGGGAGACAGCGGAGTAGGTGGGTTTGTGTGGAATGAACAGGCGTTGGCAGCAGAGAGCTGGATGGACCTTGAGGTACGGTCAGACCTGGGGTGACAGGAGGGAATAAGGGGTGTGCTAGGAGGGAGAGACAAACAGACTCGCTATACTCCTTACAAACGGACTCGCTATATCCACGGTTGGACCGTGGATATAGCGAGTCCGTTTGTAAGGAGTATAGCGAGTCTGTTTGTCTCTCCCTCCTAGCACACCCCTTATTCCCTCCTGTCACCCCAGGTCTGACCGTACCTCAAGGTCCATCCAGCTCTCTGCTGCCAACGCCTGTTCATTCCACACAAACCCACCTACTCCGCTGTCTCCCCTCCTGCTCTCCCTACCTTCCAGGTCTGACCGTACCTCAAGATCCATCCAGCGCTGCACAGGTTCTGACAGCTCTCTGCTGCCAATGCCTGTTCATTCCACACACACCTGCTCTCTCCCCTCCTGCTCTCCCTCCTTCCAGGTCAGGCCGTACCTCAAGGTGCGTCCAGCGCTGCACAGGTCCCGCCTGCTCTCTGCTGCCAACGCCTGTTCACTCCACCCAAATCCCCTACTCCTCGCCCCTCCGTTCACTCCCCTCCCTGCCCTCTCTCCCCCTACAGGCCTGGCCGTACCTCAAGGTGCGTCCAGCGCTGCACAGGTTGCGCCTGCTCTCTGCTGCCAACGCTCGTTTCTTCAACCTCTCCTTTGTCTGCGCCGATCGCCGCGACTACCCCAACTTCTACCCTCCTTTAAAAGGGAGCAAAGTGAAATTTGCCCAGGTAAATACATGAAGCCCGGCTTGCTTGGATCGGAGGCCGAGGCTGTACATGGCTTGCATGGCTCGCTTCTTTCAACTCGTTCTTGTCCTCTCTGCCCTCCCTCGCCCTCCCACACAAACTCTCTTCGTTCATCCCTCACGCCCCACTTAACCCAACACCCCGTTTCCGATCAGCAGTGACGCCGGCTACCTCGTCTTTTGAGGCGCCTCAAAGTCGCCGGCTACCTCGTCTGCCCAACCTACGTCCGCTCCCTCCCCGTCGCCCATGGAGAGAGAAAGGACATTCTCGTGGACTTCTCCTCGCTGCCCTCCTTCTCTCTTCTCACGCACCCTCACTCCTCCCAACACCTCTGCACTCTTTTCAACACCCCCTTTTCAGATAAGCAGTGATGCAGGTTATCTCGTCCGCCCATCCTACGTCCGCTCCCTGCTACTTGCACCAGGCGAGCGAAAGGACATTCTCGTGGACTTCTCCTCGCTGCCCTCCGTCTGCCGGGACGTGATTGTAACGAATTCGGCTCCCTCGCCCTTCCTAACGGCACGCCTCCGGGCAGTCACACGGGGGTGGTGATGCGGATTGTGATCACCCAGACGAAGAAAATCGCCAGCCCAAAAATACCCGAGAAAATATCGGTAATTTTCCCCAGAACACCCTTAGCCCAATAACATTGACCCGCGCTGCAGAGCAGCGATGGAAAACGCTGGCAACAGTTGAAAAGCCTGTTATGAGAAGACTCAAAACAGACTAACTCCCACGTGCTTTGGTAGACTGCCTCTGAGACCCCTTTCACTAACGTCCATCTGCTTGTTGCATGCCTCCCTCCCCTCTCCCTCACCCCTCCCTCCCCTCTCCCTCACCCCTCCCTCCCACACCCCTTCTCCCCGGATCAACCTCAACCAAGTAGCACATGACCGTGAAA